GCCGGGGGGGGGGGGGGGGTATTAATTTAAGCGCACCCGTTTTTTTTTGTTTTGCCCTTAGGCGGGGGGGGGGGGTTCGGGGGGTTTTTCCCGGCCCCGGGTTATTTTTTACAGGAAGGGAGGAAGTGGTTCCTTCTTTTTGGGGGGGGGGGGGGGGGGGTACTTTAATGTTTTGCATGCGTTAGCGGTTAGACCATTGACCACGCGTCCTCGAGAATTATTGTTCCCACACGACCGATCACCGATGGCCAATCGTTCCTTCCTCTCTTTGGGGGGGGGGGCGCTGTCAAGCATCAGCGGATGGGCCATTGATAGCGCGTCCTCTCGACAGAGTCGGGCATTGTTACCACAGGACCGAGCGCCGATGGCCAATGGCTTTCTGCCAAAGGTGGCTCAAAAAAACTTTTGTATCTATCCTATCGATATCACTTGGGGTATCGGGTGTCGAGGGGTAGTCGGAGGCGAAGCGGGCGAGAGAGAGGGGCGAACGAATCGTCAATAATAGCTGAAGACACTATGTAGTTGGGTGCCGCGAGGCGAAAACAAGGCACGGACCCGCCGGCAAACAATGGCATCCCGTTTTCAAAACGAGACTCTTTTTTTTCGACGAGAATCAAGACATAAGCTATAGGAAACACAGCTAGCTCCCTGAACGGTGGAGCCTGCACAAAATAAACCCCACCATAAAAACCTGTCCTTGACGGCGGCGACGGAATCAGAAATCGAGGCTGGACTCCACCGTCGCGTTAGTTAGACGAGGGGGTCCTGTTGTGCCGTCAGAGTCGTCCAGCTTCACTTCCCGCTAGGTTAGTAGCCACCCGTCTTGAAAAAGGAAGTTTCGGTGAGTGCCTTGCGTGCATCCGTGGGACACTCACCGACACTTTCTGATCGCGACTGAAATTGTATTGAGAACAAACGCCACTTCCTAGACTTCCAATCTTACGGCCTGTGAGGGTGCGTGGGCGGCGCTTTAAACGTACTCTCTTTTTTCCCTCCTGTTTGCCGTGTCGGCACTTGGCTGCCCGAAGAAGTGGGGACGAGGAGCGTCCTCGTGATACGTGTGGTTTCGTGTGCGAACGTTCCTGGAAATTGTTTGGAACATTTCCTGGACCGTTCATCATAATGCAACAGTATCTCCGCGACCGTGTATTCTTCCCCCATAGTGTTGGAAAAGACAGTAATTTCACTTCCCCTTGCTGGTGGTGAAGACAACTAACCCGAACATCCTTCCAGTACCGATTGGAAGGTGCTTTATCCTCGGTAGCAGTATCCCACCATCTGGAGGCGTCCAGCTGGTCATTTCTACCGACGAGCTACTCAGTCACGATCCGGGGTCGCATAGAATAGATTTTTCGTGCGATAGACGTGCCTTCCCCGTTTCTTGCGGGAAAGGTCCCTGAGTCCTCTTCTCCCCATCGCAACGACTATACGTACGCTTATACGTCCGCTAATATTCACTCACCAATAGATAAACACGAACTAGTTTCACTTGCCAATCGTACCCTTCTGTGTGTGACCACGGATTGAAGCGCGCTCCTACACGGCAGAAATACTGTGTGTGGGAGCGCTAATTTACGCTGGCGATAAAAACTTCTTTTCAACACTCTCTTGGTTAAAAAAACAGTTGCTTCGTCGAGACTTGAAGCCACGACTGTGACGATCGCACGTTTTACCCGGCTCGGAGTGAAGACCACGACCTCATGTCATTCGGGCAGTACCATTACTTTTGTAGAAGCCGATATCAAACCAAAATTGACTATAATAAGATTGTCTATCGGTTTCATTTCGGTGGTTCAAGAGGATTTCCCGTGAGGCCACGGGCGCGACCCGTGGATTCACCAGGTCGCTTGAAGGGTTACCGGCTTCGTGTCCGAACCGGCACCGACCTTACGGTACTCACTTCGTACGGGTAGCAGAGCTTCATGACGTACATGAAAACTACAGAAGAAATAAGCGATACGTCAAGAATAAGATTTTTCGCCCCTACAATGTCCTCCCCAACACACAAAAAAAAAAGGTCAAACATTATCAAGAGTATCCAGAGGGCGAAAAACAAGACAAGGACTAGCAACTCATGGAAGGAAAATACACCAAAATGTACAACACACGCCTTGGTGGACACCCATCAGCTTCCCACCTTCGCCTTCTCGGCGCGCTTCACGAGCTCCACCTCGCGCTTGGCCCGGACCTTCCTCTCTGCCGCGCGCTCCACCGCCCGCTCCGCCGCCCTCGCCTTGGCGGCCACGGCGCGCTTCTGTAGCTCGACGAGCTGGTCGGCGTGGTGCTGCAGGTCCGCGATCTGCTTCGCTCGCAAGGAGCGCTCTTCCTCCAGAAGGAGGTTCGAGACTCGGTTGTTCAGGTCCTTCCAAGTCTGTTCCGGCGGACAGCAAGAGCGTCGGTGAGCAGCAAGGATTCGGAGCAAGAGTTAAGGCCCGATTTCCGAAGGACGTCGGCGTGTTGTCTATTCTGTGTGGGTGCGAGTAGGAAGGAGCGGGAGCAACGTAGATACGGAAACCTGTTCTACAAGTATAAGGCGTGGTGTGTACATAGGTGTTCGTTTTGTGGGCATTTTCCTGGCCTTGTTTTTTTTCGCACGGTAGGCGCGCCTGTATCACAAGCACCAGGATGGTACATAGCAGCGGAAGCACAGCAAGAGGGTGGGTGCTGCCGATGGAGTCGCGAGGAAGAGGCTCGAGACGGTTCTGCTCGACTATCGTAGGCGACATAAGATACCACACTCGGTGGAATGACTTCCAACCTTTTCGTCGAGAGCTTTCTGAAAACGTATCATTTCACTCTTGCATCCTCCTCGTCGTCAAGTAGTGGAGCTGTGAAAATCTATCCAGGGGGTGTGGCATCTCATGCCACCTACGGCAAGTGGGCTTCCATCCATGGGACGAACTGCTGTATGCCTCAACGGTCCCCTAATGAGGAGCAACAAACCAATGGGTTGCCAAAAGACTGATGACCCTGTCGGGCGTTTGGACGAAGACACCCTACTACAGAGGGCGCGGCAAAAAAAAAAAAAGGACGAACACCCCGCTTCAGGCCGCCAACAGCGTCTGCTGACGGAACTACCTAGAATCGGATCTCGAAATATAGCAAGGGGGAAAAAAGCGTCTCGAGGTACGGCGAGATTGTGCCAAGAACAAGCAGCAGAGGGGGGTACACTAGGATTAGGGCAGGTCTGCATCATACCATACCAAACGCACGCGGTGCCTGGTGCTGTAGACGAGCAATGCGGGTAATCTCAAGGATTTTTCATCCTCATGTCAACACAAATAGCCACCAAAAAGTGACCCGACAACCTTCTGATCGGCCGAAAGTACGTATTTTCCCACCTCATGCCGTCACGAAAAACAACGAGTCTCAAAACAGGAGCTTCACGCACCTTCTGATTGGTCGGAAGAACGTATTTTTCCACCTAATGCCATCGCAAACAACCACCACCACCACCACCACCACCACCAATAGCAACAGTAAAAATGAGTATAGAAACAGATAGTTGACGTACCTTCTGGTCCGCGAAAGCATGTGCTTTTCCCCCTCACGCCTTACCAAACAACACCCTAGTCTCAAAAGCACACGGGGTTGTTGCGTACCTTCTGGTCGGCGGCGGAGGTCGCGGCGGTGTACCCCGTACCACAAGACGAGTCCGGCATCGCGGGGGGTACGCAGACGAACGCCGGAGAAGCCTCGGGGGTGACCTCATCATCCTCAACGGGAGAAGACGGCGCTGTCTGCACCGAGGCTTCGGCAACGGCCTTGACGGTCTTGACGACAACGTCGGTGGCGGACCCCACCTACGTCGGCACAGGCGGAGGGTTGACACAATCGGAGGTCGTGTGAATCGTCGACGATTTCCTCCCGATCGAGTGCGAGTTTCTGTTTGCTTGATGGGCGGCGGGGGGGGGAGGGGGGGAGGGGGGGGGGGT